AGTAATTCATCCCCCATATAGTAAGTCCCCCATATAGTAATTCATCCCCCATATAGTAAGTCCCCCATATAGTAATTCATTCCCCATATAGTAAGTCCCCCATATAGTAATTCATTCCCCATATAGTAAGTCCTCCATATAGTAATTCATTCCCCATATAGTAAGTCCTCCATATAGTAATTCATTCCCCATATAGTAAGTCCCCCCTGTGTCAATTCACTTACCTTTGCTCCGCGCGTTCCTCTCGTATTCCCGCGCCGTTCTGGTCTTCAGGAAGGACTGTGAGAGGAGAAGAGTTCGTCACGCTGCCCCGCCTACATCCTGGCTGCCCCGCCTACATCCTGACAGCTGCAGAGTCCTGACGCCCGAGAGGAGGGAGGGGGGCGGCCATCCGAGAGGAGGGGAGGGAGGAGGGGGGAGAGGGGGGGGGAGGGGGGGGGCGGCCGCCCGCCCGCCCGAGAGGAGGGAGGGGAGCGGGCGCCCGGCACACAGAAGAGCCGCATTTAAGTTTGTAAAGAGCCGCATGTGGCTCGCGAGCCGCGGCTTGCCGACCACTGGTCTAAGGCATGTAAAAAAATATAATTGTTGATGTGGCGCCGCCGTGACGTCACGCCGCCGGAGCAACGTGGAGCTCCAGTGTCCATCTTAGCTTATCAGATGGTCAGTCTTCATTGATTCCTGTCTGCTATTTTTACTTACCTTGATGCATCACAATAAAGCTTTTATCACACTTACTACACTATGGAAGTACCTTTGTCCCTACCCCTTGGGGGAGCTTTTTAGCCTGCAGACCCACTATACCAAGGACGGACCAGTACTTCCTAGGGGATACTCATACACCCTGAGAGATACCTATTGGAGAGAGGGACATCTAGTGGACATCTAATGGACGAAGATTGTCTTCATTGGCCTCTTATTCAATGTGATGAGCCACCATCCCATAAGAGGGAAGAGCATCTCCTAAACCAGTCCTCTATCTGATGACATCTGGATTATTGTTACAAGGCGCAAACATTTTGCGCATCCGGTGAGTGTGCGTTACCTTATCAATTTTGCACTGATACCGGGTCCAGAGTCACCATAGCACAAAAGGCAACATACTACTATCACCAATTTTATTGGAACTTTTTATTGATATTTTATTTGGTTTATAACATATATCAGCGCTGCACTTATTTGTTTATTATTGTCAGTTTAAGGTGTTCTATTGGTTACCTTTTGGTGCACAGTCGCTTTACTTTTATTATTTCTTTTGGCGCTCACATTTTCTCTATATAAACAAAAAAAGACTGAAAATTTAGAAAAAAAAAAACATATTTTCTCATTTCTGTTATAAAAAACAAAATCCTATAAACTAAAATTTTGCCATAAATGTATTTTCCTACATGTCTGGTAAAAGAAATTCACAATAACTGCATATTAATTGGTTTGTGTGAAAGTTATACCATCTACAAATAATGGTATAGATATTGAAATTTATGCCATTTTTTTGCTATACGGTGCTGCGCTAGTTTAACTGTCAATTGCACAGTCATGTAATACTGTACATAAATGAAATTTATGTCCTTTTTTTCACACAAATAGAGCTTTCTTTTGGTGGTATTTGATCACCTCTGGGTTTTCTTTTCTTTTTTTTGCACTATAAACAAAGACCGAAAATTTGGAAAACAAACGATATTTTCTCATTTCTGTCATAAAAAATATCCCAAAAAACTAAAATTTCATCATAAATTTAGGCCAAAATGTATTTTGCTATTTGTCTTTGGTTTAAAAAAATCCCAATAACATCATATTAATTGGTTTGTGTGAAAGTTATAACAACTACAAACTATGGTATAGATACTGGAATTTACACAGCTTTACTTTCTGATAGCACCTTCTGCATGCAAAAGGGCCGTGATGATCTCTTCCTGGAATTTTAGGAAGGAACCATTATGTCCAGTTGCTTTGTAAAGCACAAAAGCATTATACAGAGCCAACTAAAATAAATAGACACTTTTTTGTACCAGCATCTGGCTTTTTGTGAAACTAAGTACGGCTTCATCATCTGGTCGTTGAAGTCCACCCCTCCCATGTTATAGTTGTGGACACAGAGGCTTCTCAACAGCACCAGCTGACGTGACAATTGGATGGTCGTGTCTGCGTGAATGGAAGACAGGAGGAAAACATCCCGTTTGTCCTTCCACTGCACTGCAAGCAATTCATCATAATTTCTCAAGCAAGCTTTTTCCCTCTTTCTAAGACGGGTATTTATAAGCCGTTGGGGGAAGCCCCGGCGATTAGGTCGCACGGTGCCACATGCGCCAATTCCAAAATTGTACAAAATGTCTAAATAGTGGCACGCATGAATACAAATTGTCCATGCATAAGTGGTACCCCATATGGAAAAAGGAGGACACCAAGTCCCAAACTATCTTGTCATTGCTCCCCATGTAGTCTGGGCATCCGGGGGGCTCCACGTGACTATCTTTTCCCTTGTAAATCCGAAACTTATATGTATAGCCTGTTGTCCTCTCACAGGTCTTATACATCTTGACTTCATATCTGGCACACTTGCTGGGGAGAAATTGTTTGAATGCAAGGCGGCCAGAAAATCTAATGAGGGACTCATTAACACAGATGTTATTCTGGAGAGTATAGACATCTGCAAATCTTTGCTTAAGGTGATTTACGAGGGGCCGAATTTTGTGGAGCCGGTCAAATTCAGGGTCACCTCGAGGACGACAGAGTGTACTGTCATTGAAATGCATAAATCACATTATGTTCTCATATCTATGCCTGGCCATGGCAGCAGAGAACACAGGCATAAGATGAATTGGGTCTGTGGACCAAAACAACCGCAATTCATTTTTTCTAGTAATGCCCATGTTGAGGGTTAGGCAAACAAAATGTTAAATTTGTAAACCGTAATAGGTTTTCATGCGAATGGTCTGACAAGGTTTGAATTTGGGTTGGCAGTGATAAACTGTTATGCATATAAATTTCTTTGATCCACAATCCATGCATACAAATCTTCCGTGAAAGACAGCTCCAAAAAATCAATGGGAGTAGTTCAATTTGCTGTTTCCACCTGAATTCCGGGTTGGGCAGTGAATGGGGGAAATACGGGTACAGGAAGATCTCTGATAGGGCTGGGATCAATCATCAAATCCAGGCCGAACATCACTGGCCTGAATCTGATGATTGATCTGTCAGGCACCGAATCACGGCACCCCTGGCCCGCGGTCACCACGGGAGCGCGAATCACATGTATATACATGTGATTTTGCACAAGGGGTTCGCCCTGTAGCAGTATTTCTGCTAAAGGGCGGACTTAAAGCGGTTAAAAAACAATATATGCATTACAGTGTTATCTTTTAGTAATGAAACGTTATCGCTGAATAAACAGGTCCATAGCAGAAATGTAAAAATTGCCCTGGTCCATAGGGGGTGAACAGATGTGAGAGCCGAAGTGGTTAAGAAGCTGGGCCGCTGCATCCTTAACAACCAATTACTCATTCAGCTATCATTGGGGTTCTCCTGCTGACAGCTGAAGTGTGAACAAAACCATTGCTGGCAGGTATCGGTAATTGGTATGAGTACAAAAAAAGTATCAGTACGTGCTTTAAAAAAAAAAAATTATAAATGAATATGATGCTTTTTTCAGGTTTATGAATATGCGTGTACTGCAAATGTTTCAATAAAACGTTTATGTTAACCCCCCCAAAGTTCATTGTGAAATTGGCCAGCCCAGAGATCTACTGTACATTTGCTGTTGACAGTGCTGCCTATACAATGGGGAAGATAAGCAAACATTGTTACTGTAGAATCCTTGAATACTTTCCTTCTTGAATGCTGGCTTTGCTTTTTCTGTATTGCTTGCACTTTGCAACATAGGAAATACCTTGGGAGGCACGGTAACTGTCTAGTGGTCCATTCATACTGCCAGCTTCTACTGCATTACATAAGTAAATGAAACACTACTTTGCAAGTCCAGAACCCTGGGTGATTCTTTATATTTTGGAGAAGAAGTTGGAGAAGGCTGGTCTGCAGAACTGAAAAATTAGGACGCTAAAGGGGGGGAAATAAAGAATAGGATTATAATTACTCGGAGGTACACAACTTACTTTAACATTCAGGAGAAATCCATTCGTTCGGAATAGCATTCAGTGCTATGTAGGAACGAGCAGTAACCTTTAGAAGCCAGCAGATATATGCATCTGTTCAAAAACAAAAGTTAACAAAAAATGTTGTCATTGAGTGTTTTATCGGATTCATTGTCTTACTCATGCCAGGGATTTGTCAAGCCCCATTTCCACATTTATTTATTACAGGTACTAGCACCATTATTTACACAGAGCTTTACATATATATTGTACATTCACATCAGTCCCTAACCCTCAAGGGGTGTACAATCTAAGGTCCCTAACTCACATTCATACATACACATACTAGGGCCAATTTAAACAAGATAGAATTAACCTAACAGCATGTCTTTGGAGTGTGGGAGGAAACTGGAGTATCCCCAAGGAATCCCATGCAGGCTCTGGGAGAACATGCAAACTCCAGGCAGGTAGTGTTGTAGTTGGGTTTCAATCTAACAACCCTAATGTTGCCAGAAGTGCTTACCCCTTAGCCGCTATGCTGCCCTACTTATGCATTAAACTGGTTTCATTTAAGTCTATATTATAATATATTGTAGTTGTAATATGTTCAGTAAAACTCTTGTGAGGAGTAGTATATTGTAAAGTTTAACAGTTACTAGACTTTTGGCATAAATGTTAATGTGCTATCAATATTAATACTCAACAGTTATAAATGATAGTCTTAACTAACTAAGCAAAGACAGGTTGCTAAATTGCTTTAACCAATGTCCCTCTCTTGTAGACGGGGTCAAAATCTAAAGCGAGACCTGACAACCGGACGGCTAAGGTAAAACTTTAACCCAGAACTCTGATGTGGAGAATAGCACTGCAGCAGACAAAGTAAGAGCACACAAAAACAACACCGGAGTAAGAAACATGGCAGCAACAAATCAGCTTGGTGAGAACTTGTCTGTAGTAGTCCATGGAGTTGGAGATCTTCGCCTGGTAAATCTTTTTTATTTTCCCCTTAATTAAGTGATCTTGATGCATTCTTCTTTTATTTTAGTTTTGATAGAGTAGAAAAGGGTTAGGATATACATCCGGTTTAAACAGTGTCTAGATTTTTGTGTCAGAGTTATAATAAGGAGGAATTTTCCAAATTGGGTTACAGATTGAACTGAAGAGGTAAGTTGATAAAGATTCTAACTTTTTCACACTCTATCCAAAGTTAAGGCTGAACTCCAGGCACAAAACTTTAAGGCAATATATTAAAGGCAGATTTTTTTTTTTTCGTTTAAAAATAACAAACATGTCATACTTACCTGCTCTGTTCAGTGGTTTTGCACAGAGCAACCCCAGTCCTCCTTTTCTCAGGACCCTCATGTCTGCCTAGTGCCCCCATAGCAAGCAGCTTGCTATGGGGCACCCAAGCAGACTCGCTCCCAAGTCGCTGGTCTGTGTGTTCTCAGCCTCGCCCCTGCTCTCTCCTCATTGGCTCACTGGCTGTAATTGACTAGCTGTGATCTCGTTGGATCGAGATGCGGCTCAGGTAAGTTTTAGGAGGGCTGGACACAGAAGGCTTTTTACCTTCATGCATAGATTTAATAGGAAGAGGACTCGACCAACAGGTTTACTTTCAAAAGGCTGTGCAGTTTGTGTCAGGGTCGTGCAATGAAGATTGCTACAGCAGTGAGAAGGGTGAGTATATTACTAAATAATAGGAAAAAACTTCCCGCGCTACCACTAAACACTGATAAGAAAATCTAAGAAAGCAGCAGGCACCCAACTATATACCAAAATAGGGAACATCTAAAGGAAGGGGGGAATGGTGCTGCGCTAACAAACACAGGGGAATAGAAATAAATTACAAATGGTGAGTGACCACAAAAAAATAACGCATGTAAAAAACGAAATAAACAACATAATGCAACTAGTGCATAAAACAGATGTGAAATGGATGCATATAAGCACGTAAAGGACTAAAAATATGTGCTAAAAACTAAAAAAGACAAACCAAGTGATAAAAAGATAATTAAACAAATGACAGAAGAGCCCAAATGGTGATGAAAAATGGTGGGAAAATACAAAGTGGATGACATAAACGTCAAGACAAATCAATAAAAAATGAACACAGGCACAAAAAATACCACAGCAAAAATAATGGTGCCACAATACGTGAATATCAAAAAGTGCACCACCTAGAGAAAAAATCCTCAACTGTATAAGTGCACTATAAACGTGAGGCCAACAAAAAAAATGGTGAAAATACCAAATACAGTGTAACAATAAATGTGTATAAAAGCGGAGTGAATCCCAATAAGTAACTGAATGTGAAATAACGAAAATATCACAATCAATGGTGAAAAAAATATATAACAAAAGAAATGAACACACAAAAAAACACGTAATGGAATGGCATATGTATTGCCACGGGTGGTGAATAAATCAAAAGAAAATATACTGCATTGCGACTGTCCACAATATATAAATGCATATAAAGCTCAATGATAAAAAATTCCCAAGTGAACTTGATCGGTGAAAGTGATCAATATAACAAGGAATCCATCTCTGGCTGAATTGCCTCCTCACCTCCATGTTGCGACCCCAAGGGGCTAATGCACTTTCAAGGTGCTCAACGCCAAACAGATCAGTGCTTTGCACTCTAATCCTGGACCGTCAACCGTCAGCAATAGTGGTGGTATCCACCTCACAGAAAAAGTATGCACCGCACAGCCAACTCAAATGATCTCAAAAGAGGAGAAAAGGAACACTCCCATAGTGTAGTATTTAATACAATGTATTGAACAGTATATTGCCAAATGTAAAACAAGCTCAAAGCAGCATGCAACGATTTGGGTGTACTTGCATGGGTGTAGCAAGATGGCGGCTGCCGTCCACGCCGGAACTGACGGCACCCCGCTTCCTTCCTACGCGTTGCGTCACTTATACGTGATACGTATACGTGACATCACCTTTTGGGCTCTCCTCTCATATGTTTAATTCTTTTTTTTGATCTTTTTATCACTTGGTTTGTCTTTTTTTTTTTTTAGATTTCAGCACGTTTTTAGTCCATTATGTGCTTATACACGTCCATTTCACATCTGTTTTATGCACTAGTTGCATTATGTTGTTTATTTAGTTTTTACATGTGTTATTTTTTTTGTGGTCACTCACCATTTGTAGTTTATTTCTATTCCCTTTTGTTTGTTAGCGCAGCACCATTCCCCCATCCTGAGTATATTACTAGATGGGCTGCACTCGGGGGAGGTTGGGGGTTTATGTAAAGAGCAACCAAACTAAAAGTACAGTTCTGCTTTAATGTGGAGAATAATCAACAAGAAAAATGTGTTTTTGCAAAAGCAAGCCCGTATAAATCTGATTTAGAAGCACACCAATCACAAAGTTAAAACCACTAAAAGCCATACCCCAAAAGATACATAGCACCTTTGCAATGGCAATATTCTTGTATAGTCAAATGTGCATATGTAAGCACATCCAACACTAGAAATATATGTATCTTAACCACTTGAGCTCCAGAAGATTTTACCCCCTTCATGACCAGGCCATTTTTGTGCTTTACTGCACTTCGCTGCTTTAACTGGTATTTGTGCGATCATGCAACATTGTTCCCAAACAAAATTTGTACCAATTTTTTTTCACACAAATAGAACTTTCTTTTGGTGGTATTTGATCACCACTGGGTTTTTCTGTTTTTTGTGATGTATAAACAAAAAAAGACAGAACATTTTTAAAAAAAAAAACAATATTTTTTACTTTCTGCTATAAAACATATTCAATAAAAAAAATTTAATTTCTTCACAAATTTAACCCAAAATGTATTCTGCTACATGTTTTTGATAAAAAAAATTCCCAATAAGTGTATATTGATTGGTTTGCATGAAAGTTATAGCACCTACAAGCTGGTGTATATATACTGGAATTTTTATTTTCTTAACTTTTTTTTTTACTACTAATGGCGGTGATCAGCGATTTATAATGCATCTGTGATAATGCGGTGGGCAATCTGACATTAACTGACGCTGTCATGAACGAACTGCCACTGACATCACTAGTGAAAGTAATACAGTGATCAGTGATATTATAGACTGTCACTACCCATGACACTGGCTGGGAAGGGGTTAACATCTAGGGCGATAAAGGGGTTAAATGTGTGCTTAACTATGTGTAATGTGTGTAAAGCGTGCTGCTTTTTACTATTAAATTCTTTAAAGTGTTACTAAACCTTCAACAGTAAAATCAGTCTGTACAGTATATGCAGTAAAGCATGCTTCTTATGCTCACTGTGGAACCTAAGGGATTAAAAAAGGCTGTTTCATCCTGTCTTCTCTAATAGTCCCCTTCTTCTACTGTCCCCAGTCCATCTGATGATAGTACAGAGCTCTAGGAGTCACTCTGCACATGCTCAGTTTAGCGTGTATTGCTAGAGAGTTTTTTTTTTCTTTGAGAGGTGCATATGATCAGCACAGGGCCAATCAGCTTTGTCAAGACAGACAAAGCTGGTTGGTCAGGGGTTATGCTGCCACTTAGGATAGTCAGAGCAGAATGAAAATTCCTTCCACAAGCTCAGCTGGACACTGATAGAAGTCACAAAACTGCAATATACTGCTGATGAGAAAAGGTATTTCGCTGTTTATATTTACTAATAAAATTGCATTTCCTTGTTCTGTGGGAGACCAGATATAGTGAATATGTCATGAGTTTAGTAACACTTTAAGATTCTCATCCCTGCAAAGTGGGCATGAGAAACAGAGATCGTTCTCTCTGTACAGAGCTCTGTGTTGATTGTGAACACAGAACTCTGGGCTATGATTGCACGCAGTCGATCATCAGGACTCAGCTGTGAATCATTGGCTGGGATTTGCTGCCAGGCTCCCACTGTGTACAATCATAGCGGGTGCTGGCCAGGGGGTGCGCATGTGCCCATCCGAAACCCGGAATTAGGCAGCAACGTACGGGTATGGCAGCCGGGCGTTTTAAGTAGTAAAACAATGACTGGTGACTCATCCATAATTATTTCATACATTCCCATCATACAGCACTCCGGATTGGATCTGAGATTTCGAAGGTGTGGTAACAACTGCCCATTGGTATCAATATGGAACATAGAAGAAATATGTTGCCAGCACATCCTGGACTTGGTAGAAAGTCCAAACGTTGATTTTATCATGTGCACTGTGATGTACGGTAATCTTCATAATAAACATTTGGACTTTGTATCTAAGGTCCAAGGTGTACTGGTGACCTATTTCTATCATCGGATAAAATTCATAGTCAGATACTTGGGGGTGAATTTATTAAAGTCTTAAAGGCTGTTCCTGGCACAAGGAAAGTTGTAGTTTGGAAGTAAATATGCAACAGAGCTTAGTGAATGAGATGATATTCTGTGGACTTCCATCATCCAATTATGTGCAAGCAAAAATGCTATTTTTTCCTTGCAAGTAGTTGGGCATTCTTTGCAAAGTGAAACTTCACCACATTTACTAAGCTCTGGGGGAAAATTGCTATGTTAAGTGCAACTTCCCTTGCAAAGTTTCAACAGTTTATTTGTCTTTAGTAAATCAACCCCCATTTCAAACAAAATAAATCCTACATTTTTATTTTTATTAAGAGTTGGCATCCTGCAAAGATTACTGCAAGGACATACAATACAATAAATCATTGTGAAGGGTGTATAGTGCTGCTTCTGTATCAAAAATATATATGTGTGTGCCAATTAAATGAAAAAAAACATTCTACTACAGCTGCTGTATTGAAATACCTGCTAGTATTTATATAAAATATTAATATAAAGAATACAGCGCTAGTAGGACTTATCTAAAAAAATAATCTGTCTTCTCAATATATGTGATATTCCCATCATTATCATGCCTTAAACCCAATACTGTGCAAATACTGCAATAATTACATAAGTAAATAGAAAACCATAATCCATATATCATCAAAAAATGTACAATAACAAACCAAAGCTCATAAACCAGTACATA